ATATCGCTTCTAAACCTAGTATCCTTGCGAACAAGGTAGAAGATGGGTGCTTAACACCTTCCCCTCATCTAGAACCGAGTCCAAATCTAGAATCTATGACTTTTAGGGTTATTCCTTTATACTCCCTTCCTTTAGGATAAAAATTAAGGGTTGCGACTCTAATTTAAAAACCAGTTGCAACAATGTGTGGTCTTCTTTTCTTCAAGTAGTTTCTTCACGGACAACAGCCTAAAGAACTTGAATCGCTGAAGTCTTCTTCTTCATAAGCTTATGAAAGCTTTGTTGATCTTGATGTAGTAAAGAGAAGAACTTATTCATCTTGATTCATCTTAGAACATTTTGGACAACATCCCTTGTTCTATTTAATTCAATGATAACTTTAAAGCACAACATTCATGTTATAGATTTGTAATTGGAGCTTCCATGATCATCTTCATTATCTTCTGCGACTTAGTAAGCTTCTTGCAGTATATGAAATTAAGCATATTGTGAATCAATGACTTCATTGTTATCTTGTATTCATCAACAACATGATTCAAGAATAATTTTGATAACAATTGTTCTTGTTGTTATTATAGTGGTTGATCGTTTTGGTTGTGTTCCAATAATGACAACTTTCATTTGAACATTGAATACCAACAACAATTTAAGCATATGATCTTTTTCTTATATAGCCACACAAAATAGAGTCGTTGGCTATTTAGAAAAGAGACGTTACATAATGATGAAAATAGTACTGCTACATCCTTTTTCTTTTCCATAATTCAAGCTAGTGGAGAGGTGGTGGAATAAGGCTTTTTCGTATTGTGAACTTTTGTACCACGTTAACATTATCTTCTCTCCTTCTGCACTTCTGAGGCTTCTACGGGCATGAGTTTAGAAGCGAGAATATAACACAAGGTCATTAGAACTTCAAGTCTTTATAGTCTTCAAAACCTCATCTTCAGCACTTGGTCGCGATAACCTTTTATAGAACCTTCGGTCTTTAGAACTTTAAGTATTTAGAGTCTTTAGAACTTCTGTCTTCATAGTATTTAGCACTTGGTCTTTAGAACCCTTTTATTAGAACAACAGGTCTTTAGAACTTCAAGTATTCAGAGTCTTTAGAACTTCGTCTATCAGAATCTTTAACACTTGGCCTTGAGAACCCTTTATCTTTAGAAACACGAGTCTTTAGCATCTGGACTTAAGTAGAAACTTCCGTCTTCAGATCTTTTGACTGATTTCTTTAGACTTCATATCAGAGCCTACACTTCAGAGTCTTCTAGAGTGTCTTGCTATTGTTCATCAGAACTTGTGTAGCACATAAGAGGAACTAATTCTCTTCTAATGTCTTGGCCACACCATGCATCAGAAGTAGAACCTATTTATTAAATACTCAAAAATAACAAAAATTAGAGTATCAAAATTGTTCATACAAACATACTCATTTATTATCATCAAAACCCAGAGATAGTATTGCAGAACCAAATATTATTCTAACACATCCCTCGTCAAGTAAGGCATCAAATATCTATTTAGGTTTAATATGAGAATGAAAGCAGAGTACTTACATAAATTATTAACCTGTGATCTAGTACTTACACCTCTTTTGATATCTCCTAGAATTTGATCTAACATATGAGCTTTCATGATTGTCAAATATTAAGGCAGTTGGTTCGAGTTCTCTTGTTTTCCACCCTCGTGTAAGATTTCCTCTTTATCTTCATTAATATCCTCATCCTTTGTTGAAGGAATTTGATCCTTTTTAGAACATTCATCGGTTATCACCTTTTCCATTATCACACCTGAAAATACTAGAACAAATACATTTCCCTGTCTTTTAGGGTGAGGTCTCATAAAAAGCAACATGAATAAATTCTTTGACAAAAGAAGCTCTATGATTATAAACTCTATAAGCATTACTCGTAGATGAGTACCCTAAGAATATCCCTTCATCAGATTTAACATCAAATTTACCAATATTGTCCTTTCCGTTATTCAAAATAAAACATTTGCAACCGAAAACACAAAAATAAGAAATATTTGGTTTTCTATCTTTAAGTAACTCATAGGATGTCTTCTCTAGGATGAGTCGAATGATCACCCTGGTTAAGACATGACATGTGATATTAATCACAAAACCGTCCAAAAGTACTTAGGTAGCAACAATTGTATTCCCATGTTGGTTTGCAAGCAAACATCACCAACACCAATTACCTTATATACATTATCAGTATCCATCTTTAACACTCCAAACCCACCAGAAGTATAATATGTGAAGAAATCCTTTCTTGGTGTAACATGTAATGTAGCACCACTGTCAACTATCCACATGCTCTCGTCTGATACGAGATTAACAGACTCACGATCACGTAGAATAACAAGATTATTATAAGTAGCAGTAGTAACACGATTATCATCATGATCATCATGATATCTTTGTTTAGACTTACCTTTCTTGCCTTTTTATCCCTTTTCCACTAATAACAATACTTCTGTGCATGTGTTTTGTGACAACAATAACTCTCCAGATTCTTGTATAGTGGCTAGGACTTGCTTCTGCTATTCTCTACCACCTTTCGGTTCCTTTTTCTGACTTTTCCCTCTATTTTCAGTGACAAGTAACTCAGATTGAGAAGAAGAACCTTGTTCCTTCCTTCTCATCTCCTCATTAAGAATACCACCCTTAGTCGTTTCCAAAGAAACAACATTTCTAGAAGCAGAACTTGTGATAGAAACCCGAAACGTCTCTCAAGACTCTGGTAAAAATAGAAATAGAAATAGTCCCAAAAGTTCATCATCAAATTTAATACCCATTCTTGACATCTGATCAAGGAGCCCTTGAAATTCACTCAAGTGATCTAAAATAGATGTCCCCTCTTTATACTTTAAACTTATGAAGTTATTCAACAAGAACAATTTTTTATTCCCTGATTTAGAGGCATACAAGGACCCTATTTTCTCCCATTTTTTTTTTCATGTGCTTCATTAGCAATATAATTATAAACATTATCTTATATATATTTTCGAATAGAACCACATATCCGTTGACGTTCAAACTCTCATTCTTCATCAGACTCAAAATCTGGCTTTGCGGAACTAGAAACTGGTAAATGAAATTTCTTCACAAATAGTAAGTCTTTCATCTTGCTCTTCTATAAATGGTAATTAGAACCATTCAAAAACACCATCTTCATATTTGTATTTGACTCCATAATTAAAACAAGTAAAATAGTCATAACCAAGAGCTATGATGCTACTCTGATGGAAATTAACACACAAGAACTGAATAATATACAACGGATATAAAATTTCCCACAATTGTAGGAACCTTGAGGATCAACAACAAATATAAAACGACAAACCAAATAAATAAAGACACAAAAGAGCACCGATATTTTCAACAAATACAAGAGAGTCTTAAAGTGATTCACAATATAGTGATAACAACCGCAAACCACAAAACAAACTAGCTTACAAATAAGAATCAAAAGCTGAAAAATTACCCAAATCTACAACTTCAGTGCGAAGCAGATATCTTCTAGCTTAGAACTTGTTTTGAAATTCTGAACGGTCAAAAGATAGATACATGTGTTTCAAACATGCCTTTCAAATTTCAGGTTGATCTGATGGTGAACGAATCAGAGATCGTCAATTTAGTGATACTGGTTACAGAAAAACGAGATTGAGTTTCTCTCCTATTTTCTCTCTTTTGAATTCTTATTTTCTCTCTATTTCTCTCAACCTTAAATTGACACTCTCCACTTAAATAAGCGAGACAAATAAACTATTCATATTTGAGTCTTTCTCTATATAGGAAGGGAACCCAAACCCAACACAACTGTCATTCATAATTGCTATTTGGAATTTTTACTCAAAGACTTAGTGACAGAAGATTTGATAAGATTTGATTGATGATGACATATGTATACAATCTTGTGAGAAGCTGAATTTTATAAATATCTCATAACCAAATCATAGAATATAAACAAGACAAATAAGAAATAGGTATATGGCTTTTTCATACAACTAAAATTTCAATCACATAGAAACATAATTAATTATATTAAATTTTAAACTTACTGTCTATTTTTTGAGAACTTATAAAAATTGATTATATATTTTAAATTTTTTAAATATTTTTTTTGAAAAATTTCTTATTTTTGTGTGCATAATTGTGATATTTATGATTGAAAACACAATTGAGGAGAGAATTTGGAAACTTCAAGAAAAAGAAGGCTCCTAACAATTTATTGATTATGGTTGCTCTATAATGTATCTTTAATAAAAGGATTATTATCCTCTATCATATAACTGATTTTGATTTTTTCATCTGTAGATTTTTTCTTCTTCAAAAACAACTTTGTCATTTCAAAAAATTAACAATTTAGTCCATAAAATTAAAATTCACATGTAAATCCACAGAAAACCTGCGGATTTACCTCTAGATTTTGACTTTAAAGATTAAATTATTAGTTTTTTTGAAATGACAATGTTATTTTTGAAATTTTTTTTTACAGAGAGGTAAATCAGAAATAACCTATATAATAAAAGAATAAAATAATAATAACCCTTAATAAAAATATTATATACGGACAACAATATATTGTTGATTCAAGTGTTTTTATATACGGAAACAATTTTACTATTACGAGAAAAATAAAGTTATTGATCCAAATATATAATTAGTCAATAAAATTTTATTGTAAAACCTATATAAATTACATATTATATATTTTATTTTCTATGGGATTTCAATTAGTCCCGCTAGTTTTACCCAAAAGAAATACATAAAAAAAAGCAACAAAGTAAATATTGAATAAACGACACGAGTCACACGACGCTGCTAATCTCCAAGTCACATGCCTAGCGCGTGGCAAAAACGACATTACATTTGTTGCCAAAACATGGTCACAAAAGTAAAAAAAAAAAAACAGTAACAAAGGGGTAAGACAATGCGTTGAGTTGAAGAACCAAAGAAGCAAAGAAAGAAACACAGCAACAAACAACACACAACCATGATTTCTCAGTTCTTCGTCCTGTCCCAAAGAGGCGACAACATCGTCTTCCGTGACTGTCTCTATTCATTCCAAATCACCATTTTTCATTTCTCATCATTCTCAAAACTCATCACTAATTTTTACTCCCTTGACTGCAGATCGCGGTGAAGTACAGAAGGGAAGCGCTGAGACATTTTTCCGAAGAGTCAAGTTCTGGAAAGAGGACGCTGATGGTGATGCTCCACCTGTTTTTGTAGGTATTTTGTTTCATCATGTTAATTTATTGTATCCTGCAAATTTCTAGTATTGAATTTCATTTTTACTGTTTTTTTTTTTTGATAGAATGTAGATGGTGTGAACTACTTCCATGTTAAGGTTGCTGGATTGTTGTTTGTTGCTACGACTCGAGTTAATGTTTCGCCTTCTGTTGTCTTGGAACTCTTGCAAAGGACTGCAAGGGTTATTAAAGATTACCTTGGTGTTCTTAATGAGGATTCGTTTAGGAAGAATTTTGTGCTTGTTTATGAGCTTCTCGATGAAATGATTGTAAGTATTTATTGGGGAGATTGTTGTTGTTTGGTTGAATTGGGTTTTTAATGGTTTGCATGTGATGTATTCTAGTATTTAGTTTTACTTATGTTGACTTGTTCTAGGATTTTGGTTATGTGCAAACGACGTCTACTGAGGTTTTGAAGTCGTATGTTTTCAATGAGCCGATTGTGATTGAGACTGCACATATGCCCGTTGGTCCGGCTTCTATTTTTATGGTAACTTTTTGTAGAATCAAATGGTGGATCACTTGCTGCATGCGTTTAGTTGTTTGTCAAGTGTGGTTTTATTGGCTTGTTAATGTTATGCTTTTGTATTTGCAGCATGGGGGCAAGCGGATGCCGGGTACAGCTATTACGAAATCTGTTGTTGCTAATGAACCTGGTGGTAAGAAGAGGGATGAGATCTTTGTTGATGTAATTGAGAAAATAAGTGTCACATTCAATTCTAGTGTGAGTCTCTCGTGCCATCTGTTATGCTTGTTTTTCTTTTTCCGTTTAATTGCCGCAAAATTTTGAAGCTTTGTGATATGGATTGTAAACAGGGATATATACTTACTAGTGAGATTGATGGCACCATTCAAATGAAGAGTTATCTTACTGGTAATCCAGAGATTCGACTTGCCCTCAATGAGGACTTGAGTATTGGAACAAGCGGTAGGGCAATCTATGTTATATTTTGTTCCCTTTGAAAGTTGGAATTTGCAATCTATGTTACCTTGCCTTTTTCTGATTGTTTTGTGAAGTAACGTAGGATACTTTGTTGTAATTTTCTATTATATGTTGAAATTCTTGACATCTTAAAAACATTCTATGTTTATTGTCCTTTGCATGTAAAGGGATATTTTGAGTTTAGTTTAGTTTTCTTTTCTGAAGTGTTGGTTGAATCATTTATGGATATGGGTAATTTTCTTAATGAAACTCATGTTATTGACTAGTCGATTTTTTGTATATGCTGCCTTCTATTCTGATCTCATTTTATCATCTTTAACAGATTATAGAGGTTCTGGAGCTGTGATTTTAGATGATTGTAACTTTCATGAGTCTGTACACCTTGATAGTTTTGATGTTGACCGAACTTTGTCTTTGGTAGGTGCATATTACACAAGCTTAGGTATATAGAGGTGTGCAATAGTATATGATACTTTTGTGGCCCCTTACTAATGACTGCAATTGTTTGATAGGTACCACCAGATGGTGAATTTCCTGTCATGAATTATCGTATAACTCAAGCATTTAAGCCACCCTTTCGTATTAATACATTGATTGAAGAAACAGGACCACTCAAGGTTTTACCCACCATCTAATTTTCTAAATCTTGTTTTTTTAGTCATTCTAACAATGTGCTATACTCTCTTAGGCTGAAGTGACCATTAAAGTGCGAGCCGAATTCAACTCAAGCATCAATGCTAACACTGTTCTTGTACAAATGCCACTTCCTACATTTACAGCTCGGTATTTAAATTTTCTTTCTGATTAATGTACATATTATTTTAGTTATAGTTGATAGAAATGATTATCTTTATTGTCAATGTCAATACTGAGCTTTCTAAAAAGGCTGGTCTGTCTGATAAATGTTGAGGATTTAGATTTCTATAGCCCAAATATTGGGAGGGTTGTCAAATAAGATGATCTTCATCCCACCTGCAAGAATAAATAAAACTGACAACAAGAAATAAAAGAAAACATCATTGTACTTTTCAAGATTTATCGGCAAATGACATCTAATCAAATGATTTTGTATTCTGATCATTATTTTGTTTTGGCAAAAGACTTGAGCAACCTCTGAATAGGAAATAAAAAGCCCTACCATTTTTACTCCATAAATCTTAACTGAAAACATTTGACTTGCTGAATGGAAGGAGGAAAAAGGAGAGTGCTTGCTAATTCTGGCGGTTACACTATGACAGTTAACGACTCACCAGTGATATTCTGTGTTTGCCCGCTTTCGCGCCTCACCCTTGATTTTTTTCACGTGTGTTTAAAATAATCAACTTGCTGAATGGTGGGGGAAAACACAACGTGCCAGCTAGTACTGGCACTAACTCTACTATGACAGTACGTGCTGCAACAGTGATTTTTTGTAAGTATCATTAACAAGGTCAATTTAGGGTAATTAGGGGAATCAAAGTCAGACTCACTCCTAACATTAAAGAGTTTACTTACTCATAATCCCAACAAAATACATTGAAAGAATCATAAAAAGTTACACATAAATCAGTGATGAGGAAGCCTCAACCCTGAAATCCGTTGAATTATGCTCCCCGTCACTCCTAATGTATTTTCTGCGCTCCTAAATGTGATTTTCTTGAAAAGCCTACTTAATTAATTATCAGAAACAATAAATGGTTACGCAATTGATGAAAATACTTGGATAAAACTAGTAAAAATGATGTCTAATCACCTCACCCCTGATTTTCTCTCCTGTGTGTTCAAAACATTCATCATGCTGAATGGTGGGGGAAAAAACAAGAGTGCTAGCTAGTACTGGCACTAGTGCTACTATGACAATGTCTTACCATTGATTGTGTATGCTCATGCGAGGGAGGGTGAAAAAGTAGAGTATCTGCTAGTGCTGTCACTAACTCCACTATGGCAGTCAATGCTTCACTAGAGATTTGGCATATTTGAGAGAGAAAGTGGGTGGGTGTGGGGCTAGAAAAAGTAGGGTGGTAGTCAGTGCTAGTGAGAGTGTTTTCTGGCACTGTTGCTACCTCGTTGAATAATTGTTCTTACGTGCTTTATTTCCAATTTTTTAGTGTGAACTTCGAGTTAGAACCCGGAGCGGTTGGACACAACACTGATTTCAAGGAAGCAAATAAAAGACTGGAGTGGGGAATAAAAAAGGTAATCTCGATAATAAAAGACTATTTGATGTTAACAAAGAAACCTTCTGTTATGCATTTGAGGCTGGTATGATCAGCAGTACTACTAGTTGATAATATTGGTTGTCCTTTCTTTTACAGGTTGTTGGTGGATCTGAACATACTTTACGAGCAAAGCTGACGTTTTCGCAGGAACTACATGGTATACATACAATGCTTCGACTATTCTGTTTGGTCGAATATCTAGAGAGAGATAATTCTTTGTAATGAATTAACATGTTTGTAACGAATACAGGAAATATCATGAAAGAAGCCGGGCCTCTTAGCATGACATTCACTATACCTATGTACAATTCTTCAAGGCTTCAGGTAAAATGCCAAATATTATTTTGAAGCATTTTCTTTTGCAAAATGTGCTAGATCTTTCTGATAAGCACAGTGCCATGATTATACTCACTATCGAGAAATTAAACCATGGCTTTTTTGGTGCAGGTTAAATACTTGCAAATAGCGAAGAAGTCAAAGAGTCATAATCCGTATCGATGGGTTAGATATGTAACCCAAGCAAATTCATACGTTGCTAGGTTGTAATCCTGATATCTGCAAAAGCTAAATTCTGAATGTTTTCCAAGTCATGGATGTTCATGTGTGCTGAATAATTCCAGGAAAATTACATGTAGTGTTTTTACTTTTTGGTAGTTTAGAATTGATGATGGTTATCAATTACATAAGTGGTACATTTTAAGAATGTGGAGAGACCAAAATGCGATGTTTTAAAACTGAATTAATAATCTAATGCTTTTTTGTTTACATGATTTGAAAACATATTTAACCTTCTGAAGATTACTGTTTATGACTTTTTCTATAATTATTTTGTAAATCCAAATTTGATTTTGTTTGTTTAATAATAATATTCGTACAAGAAACACTATAAAATCATAAGAAATTCTGAGAATCCGATTCTGTTTCCCCCGGCCATGCATGCCTCATATGTATCCTCGCCTTAGATAGGAAGAAGTGAGAGTAAAGCAAAAACTATCGAATCGTAGAGTGATTCTTAGGAGAGAAGTATAATTAAGCTAATTTGTTTTTGGACTGTTCACAAGGTCCATAGTGAAAGGCTCGAGTGGTATTAAGCGGAAGAGCATATGGAGTAGGTCCACCAAGGGCAGATGATTCTGTCATCCAGAAACGTAAATCACGTCATCCAGAAACGTAAATCACTGTCTGATTAAATTCAACAGCCAGCTGCACAATGCGCATTCATGTGAAGTTACTCTACAATTTCCAAGTCGCCACTGAAGTAGGGGATATTAGACTCCTCCTCCTGGCTCTAAGGGAATGGGATGGAGCTACACTCCACTGAGGCTCGTAGTTGTCGCGGGTCACCAACGCACCATTCCTGGAGGAGAGAGGCTCGTAGTTGTCGCGGGTCACCAACGCACCATTCCTGGAGGAGAGAAAGGGACAACACAGATTGCGGAAGGAACCAGTTGTCTGCACATATCCTTGATAGGATAATCTTTGAGTCCCTAGAGAAATCTCTGAAGTTGAGATCAACTACGACGGAATCGAGGACCCTGACGAACACGTAGAGCACGTCAATAACAAGTTGGATTATTACCACATCTATGGGTCATAAAGTGTAACCTCTTTGTGCTAACCCTCACTAGAGTTGCAATGACATGGTATAAGATCCTCTCGACTGGAAGAATCGACTCTGAAGGATCAATGTGACTCCTTCAATGTCCAGTTCACCGCTTAGAAACGACAACTTACAGATATGACGGTGCTTAGCAGGACCACAAAGGGGAAGAATGAAACTCTATGTGAATACGTACTCCCTCCAATTTCATATATAAGCAAATTTACAAAAAATCTCGCCCTTTAAGAAAAATATCTAAACGCATTTAAGTCTTACACTTATTCTAATTTTTCGCTTACTTTTTGCTTTGGGAATCGTTAAAAATATGGAAATGTGAAAAAAGTAGGGTTATATATGAAATAGTGACATTGAATGTTATAATTATAGATGACTTTTGCTTATATTTAAGATCATTGATTTTTTTTTTGCTTATATTTGAGACTGGAGGAAGTAGATCGTTTCACGAAAGTGGTAGCGATGACAGGAGGTACTAGAGAACTTAATATGCTACCCCTTGTAATTATCCTGGCACCCCCTATATTTTTAGTAATGACCAAATTACCCCTGCTACTATTAACCCTAAAACTAAGGTTTTGTGAAAAACAAGTCATTGGGAAATTTTCGAAAAAATAATTTCCGGTACACATTTTGGAATTTATGGTATCACCTTAGGCAAAATATCAGAAATCATGTTGTTTTCAAAAATTTTCGGAAGCGATTCACCGAGAATTTCAAATTTGCAGTACCAATCTCCAATTTTTTGAATAATTTACCAGATTTTCCCCAAAATTCCGGCACATTGCAAAATTCTCGGAAATTTCAAATTTCTGGTTTACTAGAAATTTTGTCAATCCTGTAACTTCCAGTATGACAGAAAATGAACTTCTCTACTTGTGCGGTCTTCAACCGGCGCAACCAACATCTTCTTCTATAGATTCTTGTATAGATTGTACGAAGTTCTTCATCACCGATGTTGTATGCATTCTATTTAACAAACCTTATTCCTAAATGTTTGTCCGTTTCTAGGAAATTGTTAATTTAACCTTTATATTTTAAAATTGACAGATATTCAAGACTCGACCAAATGTGTTAGCATGAGCACAAACTATTGGGAAACAACATAGTATTATTGTTGTCACCGTGCATTCTGATCCGACTAATGGAATCACAGGGAAGAAGGATACATTGATTATGGGTTGCGAGAAAGGAGGGAATTATAAAAGAAAGAATGCATGTCAAAGCACAAACTCATCTGACTGCGTTTATAGCATGATAGTGAAATGTCCTTTTAGGCTGAGAGCTGTTCTAAGTGGTGTTAGTTAGAAGATGGTGTTAGGTGTGGGATGCACAACCATAGATTATCTGAGGGTTTGGAAGGCCATGACATATTGAGTCGTTTAAAAGATCACGAATGATAATTTTTGAATGACATAACAAAGTACAACATAACTCCAAGGTTCATAATTGCTGCTTTAAAAGACAAAGATCCTGAAAACCTAACTAGTGTTACCTAAGTGTATAGAGCCAGAGCTACATACAGAACAGGCAAGAGATGAACGTTGGCAGAAATGCAAATGTTGTCGAGTCTTATTCATAAAGAGAAATACATGTGTTGGACTAGAAATAGGGACGACATAGATGTTGTTGCTGATATCTTTTGGAAACATCTAAATTCAATGAATTTGTTGAATATGTTTCATCTGGTGTTAATTTTTGACTGCACATACAAGACAAATAGGTAAGAATATTTTATTGGACATCATGACATCTGTTGTTTCCATGTTGATTTTGATTATTTCCATGTTGCTCTTACATGTACCGCTTACCACTTCTTGAGATTGTTGGTGTCACGTTAACGAAGTTGATGTTTTCGGATGCCTTTGCCTATTTGGAACATGAGAGGGAGGAGAATTTCACATGGGCATTAGAGAAACTGAAGGAGTTGTTCTCTTTTGAGAAGTTGCTACCGAAGGTTATGGTGACAGACCGAGAGCTTGCATTGATGAATGCCATGGAATCTGTGTTCCCAAGTGCTACTCATCTGTTGTGTACGTTTCATATTTCAAAAAACGCGAGTATGAAATGTAAAGAGTATGTTAAATAAAAATGACAAGAACATGTCATGGCTCTATTGAACAACATCATGTATTCAAATACAGAACATGAGTTTGATGTACACTTGAAGCACTTCGAAAGTGTTTGTGGTGATATTCTTTTATTTGTGAAATATGTGAATGAAACATAGTTGACTCCTTATAAAGAAAGATTTATTGATGCTCGGACAAACAAAGCCACTCACTTAGGGAACACAACAATAAACAGGTACACCAAACATGGTTTTGGTAATGTTAGTACATTGATACACATGATCTAACATATATTCTTGTTTATTGTTTTAAGGGTTGAATCTGCTCATTGGAGACTTAAAAACATGTTGATTACAAGCCGAGGAGATTTATGCCGAAGTTGGGATGCTGTGAACACTATGTTGAAGCTGCAACTAGGTTCAATAAGGGTGTCTTTTCAAAAACTTATTGTCAATATTGAGCATCGGTATAACACTCCATTCTATTCAAGATTGCATAGTTTTGTCTCAAGACAACGTATACAACTCATTAGAAAGGTGCTAGAAAGGATAAAACTTGTGGGTACATGCGAAGAAAAATGTGATTGATTCATTAAAACCACACAAGGGGTACCATGTGTGTGCCTGCTTGTCGGTTTCCGGCTACAAGGCAACCCGATTCCTTTGGACTCAATTCATGTATTTTGGACGAAGTTGCACATTTCAGATCATGATGTTAGTCAGGATGAGACTGGTACAAAATAGGATTTAAAGGCAAAGTGTGAAGAGTTGAAGACATATTTCAGTACTTTGGATATTATAGGCCAGAGGGTGTTGAAGAAAAATGTTTGGGAACTAATACATCCATCTACAACTTTTATGTGTCCACCGTCGGTGAAGTACAAGCCAAAGAGGGGATCAAAGAAGAGTAAAAAAGGTACTGAGAGTGATGTGCATCGTGATCCTAGTCAGAGGGAATATGCCGAGCTCTCGCAAATGAGTCAAAGTTAGACTACAAGGACATCATGCACTAAACTAGATGGATGTCAACCATCGCGTCAACCGTCCCCCGCATCTTCAAGAAAGAAATACTTGTCCCAAATTCATGCTTTCTTACATCCATACATTGATGACATTATTGATGTTGAAAATGATGAACATTGTGGATTCCGTTGCATTGCAGCTCAACTTGGATGGGGAGAAGACATGTGGGCTTTGATTTGGATGCAATTAGACACTCAAATTCATCAATGCTCTCAATTGTTTTCCAAGTTGTTCCAAGACTCTGTTTCTACAGTTAAGAATTCAGTACGAGTAGAACACATGAGTGTGCAAGCTGAGGATAAATGGATGAGCATTCCTGATATGGGTTACCCTATTGCTTCTAGATACAATGTTGTACTTGTCTCCATTTCCATGACACTTAATGTCACTTTTTTCCCTCTAGCCTTAGCTCCACCTATACATACGAGCATGCATAAACTCATTGTTATTGGCTTTGTCAACAAAAATCATTGGGTTCAGATAAAGTTAAAACCTGATTTCCCACTGCCTTTTGTCACTGTCTATTGGAGAGATAATTATAGTGATGATGCAAAAGCATGATAATCAATATTTGCGGGTCACTTTAGACACTTTGAAGAGGAAGTTATGAAGTTATCTTAATGTGTTTTATACCCTTATATGTATGACAATTATTACATTTCTATGTTTAATCAGGTATCATGGTTGTTGATTCAGTTATGTGGAGAAAATCAATTGAAAAAGAAAAAAACACATGTTGATAATGTACTGAAAATTTGAAATTTCTAGAATTTTTTAGTGAATACCAAAAATTTGAATTTTCTGGTAAATATCAAAAAATTTATTGAAAATTCGTGT